TCAATGTTGGATTAAACTTGTTTTCCAAATCGAGACTACTCTTTCTCAGACGGCTGATCAGGCACGCACCATTCTTAGCTGTCTGGAAACGATTCGCAGGCGCCGCCAGGAACAGAACCAGGGTCGCCCTCTGGAGATGCCTGCTAGAAGGAGCCCACCGGTAATTGATAACATCTTTTTTCGAGCCCTTACTAAACAAATTCTGCTGTGACTACATGTCAATGAACCAATCTTTGGACTTTCAGATTCGCCTATCTGATAGTCGTCCTCAGCCGATAGTGTTTCCGGGCACATTTCAGATGCCACTAAAAGAGGACGATGAGGAGCCACAGACTGAACTTCTGAACGCTGACAATGTCGTTCGGTAGATATATTACACTTTATATTATTTAGCTACATTTAACGGTACTGTTACTACAACTATACTCGCCGTCTCCAAAAGGACTACAGAGATCAAAAAGGCAACATTACAGCTAATTGCTCGTCTGGAATGCGCGAAACATACATCTTTCCCGGTACACATGGCACACTAAACTTGCCTTGCCAGTTTGAAAAATTGCACGCTAGCTGCTCGTTACAGCCAATCAAATGGAGCGCGCTAGATCGCGGCCGGCGAGTAATTATTTGGCGCGAAGCACGTCTGGTACAAATGCCACACCAGTAGTCCCAATTCATGAGCTAAGCCATCCTACGCTATATCTATCCAGCCGTCACGATAAATCTTTAAATGTCTACAGGCTTGTTGGCTTTCATGTGTAAGTCTCTTTGATGGACCTAATTGGCTTTTTATGCCAGAAATAGACCTCTATGAATGGCATTTTAGCACCGACGACCCTGTGGGTGATCCTGTGCAACAGCAGGATCACGGCGATTGCTCTTTGAAGGAATCTACGCCTCCACGCAAGAGAGTGAAATTTGACTTGGAGGATAAGGAGAACTATTCTAGCGATGGAAAAATCGCCAGCGAAGAAGAAGAAGACAACTGCTGTTTGTTTTTATCTTCTTCCATTGAAGCTTTTCTGACTTTCACCGATAATATCCAGCGCAACCCTTCACGCACACCTGCGTGCAGACCTTTGCGCGCTACTGTAGTTCAAGGGGGTGGGGGCACAGGCTCAGCCTTAAGGCTGCGTTCATACTTCGCCCACCGAAGCGAGCAATTCCTCTACAGTTCCGAGCGTCTACCAGCGTCAGCGACTAGCAAGGCAATGGCATCAATTTAGCGTCCTCCAGCGTCTACCAGCGTCTCGAGAGCTGCGGAATTATAGGTATCGATACATATAGGTACATATACATATAGGTAACGTATGGCAGCGTGCCCAGCGGCCTTGAGAGGGGGATATGGCGCGATAGTAGCGTAGCAGGCAGCTGATACCCTCTGCCAGCAGTCTGCCCTCCTGCTATCCACCTATTCCCTACCAGCTGTCTTTACCCTCCTATCGCGCCATACTCTCTACCAGGTGTCTGCTACCTTCCTATTGCACCATTCTCTCTCTCCCGGAGGTAGACGCTGATTGCACGCGGGCAGACGCTGAATCGATGTCTATAGTTTCCTAGTTCGCTGACGCTGCCGGACGCTCTGAACGCTGCTGGGCGCTGCTGCAAAGTATGAACGTAGCCCGGAGCGTAGACAACTAGAGACCGCACGAAATCGCCCCGGTGTGCCAGGGAGCGGTCTTCATCGCCACTCAGCTGAGTAGCATATGAATCCTTTGGTTCTCAGAGCCCTGCTCTTTATTAAATGATTAAATCGATGAGTTGTTTGATTTGCAGATGTGGAGGTGTACTATGTGGATGGCGAAGATTACAAGCCGGATGCTACTGATGTGAAGGGCGAAGATTACAAGCCGGATGCGAATAATGAGAAGGTAAAGTGGCTTTCTGATTGTTTTTCTCGTTCGATTTCATATTTTCCAGATTTGTGAAAACAATGGCATGTCTGTTCATACAACATGCGTGGCTAAAGCTAAGTCTTCCACCAAGGTCGAGGACGAGAGCCTCGAAGACGGAGAGCTTGCCGACGAAACCACTGAGCAGACAGAAGTCGTCGAAGTACAGGATCTCCAGTAGATCTCGAAAAACGCAACCTGCACTTATCGTGCTGGATTCATGTCATCCTTTGCCTAACCGCGAAGTTACAATTGTCTGATTTACTTAACATTCAGTATGTTGATGTGTAAGCTGTTATGTTGAATAAATTTTGTTGACATTCGATTATACTCATCCTTGTGAAGACACGCCCCGCAATTATACTCGAAATCCCTGAGATCGGGTAGGCGTGGCCGCATGTTTCAACTTAACCTGAAGGTGTCTATGCTTCTGGTGAGATATTTTCATCTTGACACAATTGTTGTCGTGTCTCTGTCCAACACAGAACAAGATGACAGTTGTCCCAGAATATTCCACGAGTAACCAATTCCGTGCCATGTTCAAATGCCACGCCTACTCTGGCTCAGGGATAAGGAGTCCACACATGAATTGGTTAATGCTATGCGACTCACCAATGAAAAAAAGTGTGGGGGGGAAACTGTAGGAGACGCCCTCAATAAGATTCCAAGACTGGTCGAGGTAAACCAGGTCTTAGAATGAACGCAACTGAAATTATAAATGCGGGACCGCTGCAATATTTATTAGACAGATATTTGGGACAACTTCTATAGGAGGCGTTTCTCCTGCTTATTTCTACCGCAGTCCCCACGCCATTCATTGTTGAGGTGTGGTATTGGTGCATCCTCTGAGACTGCAGAACCGACGAAGGCAGTGTTTATACTTCGCGACCGCTATGCTTTCGTTGACCGCCGCAGTCGAAAGCATGTGCGATCGATCGCGTCGAACGCGAGACCGAAGCGTTGCCCGCGCGAAGACTGAACGCTGCCTGATTGCATTTGAAAGGTATTCCTACCAAAGCAGCCGCGCAATGCACCTCTGAAAGCCATGGTCGACATCCTCCACGTAAATGACGTATAAAATGATTTTCAGTTCAGTTGGTTGCTGGAATGCAGCTAAGCACTAATCATGTGCAGAGGAAATTAGTACTGTAGTCCTTGGCATCGGAGAGCTGGCTCAAGAGCAGCGAGGTTAGTACTACTAACGTCGCCTACGAAGAGGTGAGCGAGCTCGATGGTGAACAACGATGGCTTCAAAAGAAAAGAACTTACAAAAAAAATCTGGATCATCGTTGTACTGTACGACCTACACGGGATGGACGCAACTGGAGTTACTGAGGTAAGATCGATGGATGCCACACCTCGTCCCCAGATGGGTGAGGCAACTTCCGTGATTGCCGTTACTTCCGGGATTATTCAAGCACCTTTGTTTCAGTGATGTGGAATGTATATGCTAGCAAAAAGAAGATCTGAGACAGAGCGATCATAGAAACCTGAGCCTTGGGTCCTTACAATGTTACAACCACCTCCTCACGTCCACAGGCTGTACTTGTAGACGCCTGTGAAAATCTGAGGCTGTCTTCACCTTTTTGACCAATTTCAGATGTAGAACCCGGAGAGGAGATTCCCATCAAGGGGGGGGGGTCGTATTTGCTTTAAAAAATCCGCTCGGACGTTAGGTGTCTGAGAACAGGTATTCGGAGAATTCGAGAACATGGTAGGTAGCGTGGGATCTGGAAGGGGATCGTACCAGAGCAGAGAACTTGAAAGGGAACGTGTTTTCGCAAGTTTTCCTCTGCGACGGAAGGTACCCTGATTCGAAGCACGGCCACCCTCTTTGTATTATAGTATGGC